CATACCCCTCAGTTACACCACTGCCTCCAGCTTGTAGGTTTCCATGCATATGGCTGCATTTACAAATGAATTCAGATCCCTTAACTGCTGATGGCATCTCTCCACGTTCTTTTCACTCAGAAAAAAGAAAAAAAATTTAAACTATATTTTGAAGGTATTGCTTTAGAAAAGAACACCCTGGATTCATAGTGGAAAAATCAGGGCTTCCAACTGGTTCATTCTGGTTTGAATCTCTGCTGAGAATTTGTATTTCTAACAAGTTCCCAGGCAATGCTAATACTGCTGGTTAGGGACCAATTCTAAGAACCACTAGTAGAGCAGTAGTTCTCAAAATTTATTATACATAAGAATCACCTGGGGATATTGTTAAAATGTAGATTCTGATTCAGTATAACTGGAGGGGAAATGCAAATTCTCAGCAGGGTAATGAATTGGTTCGAAGCCTTGGGTCAAATAAAAGTTTGAGTGATGGGAGAAGACACAGCTTCAAATCCCTTATGATCCCCACCTGGTTAGGTTTTATGGTTTCTTCAGACTTTCTCCATCTACGGAGTTGGGAGATGTGCCATATGGTCCAGCACTCAACAAGTATTGGTTCTACAATCTAGCATAGTTCCATGCACTAATTAAAGTAGGGAAAAAAGCGTTGAAGCAAGAGATGATGTTAGTTTGAATGAGAAAACTTACGTTAGAGATGAAAATACATGAATTCAAGCTTCTTTTGGAATTCAAATCCACACACCTTTTGCTAGATCAAATATTGATGGGGCAATGGTGGCAAGGAGGCGCAACATGTTATAGTAATTCCCAGATTTCTAATATGAGGAACTGAGTGTATGGAAGTACCAGTTACTATGATGTGGAAAAATAGAGGAGGAGCATGTTGGAATGGAGGATCAAAAGCTCAGTTTTGAATGTACCTGTTAAGTTGGAGATGCCTGTGAGGCATCCAAGTAGCGATGTCAAATAAGCAGTTGGATATACAAGTCAAAATCTGGATTGTGACAATATTTCCCAGGTTCTTTGCTTTTGGCTTAAGGTTAGATAAACTCCAAATTGGGGCAAGGAGGAAATTAACCTTCTTTGAGCACCTACTGTATGCTAAGCACCTATTATATTACAGATATTTCTGTTTTTGTGCATATTTCAAACACCTGCTTTCTATATGCCTGCCCAAGCACTCTCCCAGTTCAGCCCCACTGTGATCCAACTAGAGGCCACCTGGGATACGCTCTTTGCAGACACTCAAACCATGGAGCAAATTCCTCTCTCCCAGGTTCGTAATGAGTCTCTGGAGGGTTTCTGCACCTAGATCTGTGCTCAAAGACTGCATGAGGTCTGAAGACAGGGGTGGAGAAAAACCTGAGAACCCTAAACCCAAAGGGAGAAAGTGCCACCCTTAGTTTGCTGACTCTCTTTGGATACAACATGCCTTGCCTCTTTGTCTTAATTTCAGTATCTGCCTGCTTCATAAAAATGCTCTGAAAATTAAGATGAGCTCCTGAATCACCTGGAGAGCTTCTTAAATAATGCATATTCCTGGGCCCCACCATCAGAGATTATAATTCAGTTGGTCTAGGGTGTGGTTCGGAGTCCCTGGGTGGTGCAAATGGTTAACATGCTCACTACTAACTGAAAGGTTGGTGGTTTGAGTCTACCCAGAGGTGCCTCAGAAGAAAGGCCTGGCGATCTACCTCTAAATAACCAACCATTGAAAACCCTATGGAGCACAGTTCTACTCTGACACACATGGGGTCTCCATGAGTCAGAATCACCTCCGTGGCACCTGGTTTTTGGTTTGGTTTGGTGTGTGGCTTAGGAGTATGTATTGCAGGGGATACTGATGCTGGTTCAGGGTGATCCCTGGACCAGAAACACTGATTTACAGAGTAGTGAGTTGTCAGTTTTCACCACCTACTTGCCTCACCCATTTAGATTACTGTGGCAGCTTTAAAATATGGCACCAAATTCTTTGACACTTCTGCCATCAAGAAGTGGATTCTATATCCCCTGTCTTTGAATCTGGGCAGGATTGTTACTGCTGCAATCGAAAGAATATGGAAGAAGTGACACCATGTGACTTCTGAAAACCAAAAACCTGTTGTCATTGAGTCAATTCTGACCCATGGCAACCCCATGTCTTACAAAGTAGACTGCTCCCTAGAGTTTTCTTGGCTGTAATTTTCACAGAAGCAGATGGGTACTGCTGGGTGGGTTTGAACTGCCAAACTTTAGGTTAGCAGCCAATCACAAACTGCTAGCGCCACCCAGGGACCGTATGTGATTTCTGAAGCTAGGTTTAGAAAGGCCATGCAGCTTCTGCCTGGTTCTCTTAGGACATTTGCTCTCCAGGTGCTTCTTCTCAGGACATTCCTTATCAGAACCTGGGTGCCATGATGTTAGAAGCCCAAGCCACATGGAAAGTTCACACCAACAGTCCCAGCTGAGCTCAGCCTTTGAGTCATCTCAGCCCTGGCACTTTATGTGTGAGTGAAGGATGCTCCAGATAATTCCAGCCCCCAGCCATGGAGTCACCCCAACTATCAAGACTTCCCAGCTGAACCCCAGACATCACAGAGCAGGAACAATGCATCGCCACCATGCCTGGCTTGAATTCCTGACCCACAAAAGTTATGCTCATAATAAAAAGATTGTTGTTTTATGCCGCTTAGTTTTGGGATGTTGCATTATGCAGCAGTAGTAACTAGAATAGTTACTAAAGTATTTTCTCAAGAAACATCTATTAAAACGCAAACACATTCCTTGGAAGGATAAACTCTTTCAGATGAATGCCATCAGCGTATCTAACAGAGAGCAAAGCAGGGCAAATGAGCCAAGAGATGGTCTCTTGTTTAGCTGACATGAAAACATCACTAGAGAATAAGACACATAAGTTGCTTCCAGACTAATGGAGACAGAAAGATGGGTACATCTTGAAGACAATGTAGCCAAAGGGGAAAGAGATGCTTGCTGGGGGAGCGGCAAAATCCAGCTTCATTTACTTCAGTTGTGCTGAAGACTGGCTTTAAAATCCCTCAACCCCCTCACTAACCGCAGTTTTTTGTTTACGCAAGTTTCCCAAACGTGCCTGCTTAATACTAAAAATTGCCGGGGGAACATACGCTAACAAGGGCTAAGGGTAATTCTTACCACCAGGCAAGTTTGGGAAATGCTGAATTATAGAATTCTTCAATTAAATACAAAACAAAATAGTAAACACAGCACTTACCCCACAACAGTCACAGTTCTGCCAGGAGAAGGGTTGAGTACAGGTGCTTCACTTTGAGTTACAAGATCTAGCAGGCTTGAACCCTGAGACTGTAAATCCCAGCTAAATCCAATTATAGTGGTGGGGAGGAAGGATTTGTAAATATTGGAATTCACTTGCTAATCAGACAATGCTAATTATACATAAAAGAAAAAGCAATTGCCTTCTCTAAGGAATATGGCAACAAGTTTGGTTGTTTTTTTGTTTTTGCTTGTTTTGGTCTAAGGAATATTTAGTGAATATTTTAATTGATAAAATATAAACTAAGAGGAATGTTAGGTTAAAAATCCGTGGTCTTATTCAAGCTATCATGTAGGCAGGTAAAAAAACGACAGAGCAAGACATGTCACCTGGACTCTCCAGGATTGAGAAAAACAAGGAATATCACCCTAATAAGCATGAATTTAATTCTACTTTAGAAACACTAATGTCTACACTGTTCTCAGCCTCACCTCCCCACACCCTCAAGCTCATTGTTCTCAGAAGTGGCTTGAATCTTATTTTAGATTTGTAAATGTAAGTGCTTGAGTTTTCTTTCCAGGAATACAACTACAGCCTTCTAAAGACACTGTGAGAGGTTATTCTCACGCATGAATTCACATTGGGACTAGTTATTACTCCCAAATTCTGCATCATTAGGAGATTTTCCTGATTTGATGATGATCCATATCAGCAGTTCATCAGTCCCAAAACCTAGTCCCATGGGGACTGAGAGCAACTCAGGCCCCTCTGAGTCTGTTCGGTTTTATTCCTCTTACCCTTAGAGACGCTAATGGTTATATAGTAGAGCTTTCCAGACTAAAACTCACATCCGGCTCGATTCCAAGACTTTGCATGTATTGCAGCGGATAAAATGAAATGGCTGTGGAAATATTATTTGTATTGCTGCATACTGGGGTTCCAAGCAATAAAAAAGGGAGTCCTTTTCTAAAATATTGGCTTAAAACTCATTGCCATAGAATCTATTCAGACTCATAGAGACCCTATGAGGAAAAGTAGATGTGCCACATAGGGTTTCAAAGGCTGTAATCTTTACGGAGCGGATTGTCACGTTTTCCTCCCAAGGAGGGGCTGGTGGCTTTGAATCACCGATCTTTCCATTAGCAGCCAAGCGCTTTAACCACTGTGCAATCCAGAAATATTAGCTTCGAAGCTCAATATCACTCCTTAAAACAAACAAACCCATTGCCATCAAGTGGATTCTGACTAATAGCGACCCTATAGGACAGAGTAGAACTGCCCCATAGGATTTCCAAGGAGCAGCTGCTGGGTTCGAACTGCTGACCTTTTGGTTAGCAGTGGGACACTTAACCATTATGCCACCAAGGCTCCTATCATGCCTTAGACCAGCAAAAAAAAAAAAAATTCAGTTCTAATGAAGCCTGACTCATGGCAATCCCATGTGTTTCAGAGTAGAACAGCACTCCATAGGGTCTTCAATGGCTATGATCTTTTCAGATGTAGATTGCCAGGCCTTTCTTCCAAGGAGCCTTTGGGTAGACTCAAAGTGCCAACCTTTTTGGTTAGTAGTACAGCTCTTGACCATTTGCTCCACCCAGGGACTCCTTCTTAAACCAGAAGCTGTATGTATGTGTGTAGAGTGCACATTTAATAGTAAAAAGAAACATGTTATCTCTCCATTAAGCTCCGACTTACTGGATTTCCTGGACAAGGACTAGAAGCCCCTGGCTGCTCACTGCTTCTCTTTTTTGTTCTGCTCTCTCCCTTGCAGAGACATCTCCCATACCAGTGTTACAGACCTGCCATCGAACGGCCTAGAGAACTTGAAGGAATTGATAGCAAGAAATACTTGGACTCTAAAGAAACTCCCACTTTCCTTGAGTTTCGTTCACCTCACACGAGCTGACCTTTCTTATCCAAGCCATTGCTGTGCTTTTAAGAATCAGAAGAAAATCAGAGGGTAAGTGGCACAGGTCTGGAGGAAGTGACAAAAGTCCTTGATGGAAGTTGAATTAATTTCTGGGTTTGGGGAAGAAGCTTTGTCATTTGAAAACCAGGTGGAGAAGAATTAGAGGCATCCACAAAGTCAGGATATCTATGGGGCAGTGATGACCTGGAGACTTTATGGCAAGTTCCACAAACATGATTTCTGGCCTCCAGCTGCAACGCATATTAAAAAGCACGATGCATATTAGATGCCACAACCATAGGACAAGCTTACAAAGGACACAAACACTCCAACAATTTAATTATCTGATCCATTCAAGCCTTGCAAATTTCATGGCTTACTGGTTACATGTACATGGGCTTTGGAGTCAGCTGGATTTGGACCCCAGCTCTGCTACTTCCTAGCTGTGTTAACCCAGCCAAGTTACAGAACCTCCCTTAGCCTCTGAGAATGGAGATCATAATGCTATTATTCATAGGGATTTTGAGAAGATTCAATGAGAAAATGAACAGCAAATACCTATCACACTGCTGGAGTCCCTAGGTGGTGGAAACAGTTAACATACTTGGCTGCTAAATTGGTGGTGGCAGGGGGAACCAAGATAACAGCTTAGTCAGATATACCATGCCATCTCTCTACAGCAAAGACCTGAGAAACCAAGTGAAATACATACAGATGATAATCCTTGGAACCCTGAGAATCAAATGAAAGGATAAAGAATTAGATCAGATGCCATTGGGAAGAAGAAACTGATCAAAAACAGCGAACGAGGAGAGATATGGGGCAGAGGTGCCCTGTCAACCAGCTCGGCACAGCATGGCCATCTTGAGACAAAGCCAGCAGCAATCTCAGGTGAGGAGCACAGAAAGGCAGCTTCACAGAACTCCCAACAGGAGACAGAGAAACTGTGTAGTCATACCCAGAGCAAAGCAAGGTGAGCAGGACATGAACCAGATCTAAAGAGGAGAAGTACAGGAAAGAAGGTGACAGCATGAGGGATCCCGGCATCCACAGAGCAGGGAAGGAGACAGGACCTAGATACAGGCTACTCTCCAGTGGCAGTCCTTGGCCATTGGGATGGGTGGTGCACATGGAGTAATAGTTTCATACAGTGTCAACAGGAGGTCCCCAACCCAACTGGACTACTGGAAGCCCACTGTCTTGGTTATCTAGTGCTGCTGTAACAGAAATACCATAAGTGGATGGCTTTAACAAACAGAAATTTATTCTCTCACAGTCTAGTAGGCTAGAAGTCCAAATTCAGGGTATCGGCTCTAGGGGAAGACTTTCTCTGTTGGCTCTGGAAGAAGGTCCTTGTCATCAATCTTCCCCTGGACTAGGAAATTCTCCACACAGGAACCCCAGGTCCAAAGCACGTGCTCTGTTCCTGGTGCTGCTTTCTTGGTAGTATGAGGTCCCCTGTCTCTCTGCTCACTTTTTTCTTTTATATCCAAAAGAAATTGGCTCAAGACACAATCCAGCCTTGTAGATTGAGTCCTACCTCATTAATATAACTGCCACCTATTCCCCATCATTAACATATAGAGGCAGGATTTACAACACATAGGAAAATCACATCAGAATGGTGGATAATCACACAATATTGAGAATCATGGCCTAGCCAAACTGATACACATATTTTTGGGGGACACAATTCAATCCATGACACACCCCCTCCTGGTACTTCATCAGGGCTAGGTCCTGATCGCTGGCTGCAGCCAACGGGAAGTGCCCAGGTGACTAGAGTAGTACACTCCCCCATCTCCTGCTCTTCTGGTGATTAGTGGCACAAATCCTGTCCCCATCCCAGCAGCCCCAACCACCAGGGACCACAATACAAGCTCCCCATACCCCACCTAGCTCATCCTCCACCCCACACACACCCCTATCTGCCAACACCACAGATCCTCCTGCCTGCTGACCCCACTGAGAAGTGGCAAAGTGCTCTGGCACCCCCCAGTAACTGCCCTGTCCCTCCTGCCTATCAACCCCTCTGAGTGGCAGTAGAGTGCTCCAGCATTCCCCCGGCTGCCTGCCCTGCCCACTGACCCACCCAGCCACTGATAAGTGGAAAACAAGCCCATCCCACCACTTGCCTGCCGAATTCACCCACTCAGCAAATGGCTGTAAGCGCTCCCACACCACTGGACCAATGACAAGAGACGGCCAGTGCCCACCCAGCCAAGCCTCAGCTGTCTTGCAAGCCTAGTGAACAGTGACTCAGGCTTGCCCTGCCTGCCACTGCCCCACCCACTCAGAGAAAGGTAGTGAGCATTCCCATGCTGCCAGGTGAGTAAACAGCAAAGCACACCCAACCCACGCCCTGATAAAACAAAACAAAACAAAAAATCAGGATGAAAGAAACAAACTTACAATCTATCGATAAATAACACCTTAATGCCTTGGAGACAGCAGACAATATCAAATCGTATAAAGAAGAGGACAAGATGGCTCAAGCAAGTGACCAAAATAGAGGGGCAGAAAACCTTCTGGAAGAAGAAATGATAATGGAACTACCTGAGGAGAAATTCAAAAGACTTATATATAGGATCCTCAAAGAGATCAAGGAAAACACTGACAAAACTCTAGAAGAATTCAATAAAACATTACAAGAACAAAATGACAAAATAGACAATTAGAAACCATACAAAAACAGCAACTAGAAATCCAGAAGATTAACAATGAATAGGTTACTCAATGGAAGGACATAGAGGTAGAATTGAATCAATGGAAGAAATAATCAGCAAAATAGATGACAAATCCCTTGATACTAATTTGTTTAATGAACAATCAGAAAAAAGAGTGAAGAAAAATGAAGAAAGCCTAAGAGTTATGTGGGACATTATCAAGCAGAATAATTTACATGTGATTGGAATTCCAGAACAGGAGGATACAAAAAAAGCAGAGAGAATTTTTGAAGATTTACAGGCAGAAAACTTCCCTAATATCCTGAAAGATGAGAAGGTTTCAATTCAAGAAGCCCAATAAACCCCATATAGGAGAGACCCCAAAGAAAGTCACCAAGACATATCATAATCAAACTTTCCAAAGAATGAACAAGACTGGAAGTTGGTTTTTTGAGAGGATCGATAAAATTGACAAACCACTGACCAAACTGACAAAGGAAAAGAATGAAAAGATGTAAATAACCAAAATAAGAAAGAGATGGTGACATTACAACAACCAACTGAGATAAAAAAGATCATAACAGAATATTATGAAAAATTGTACTCTAGCAAATTTCAAAAACTAAGAAATGGACAAATTTCTAGAAACACACTACCTACCTAAGCTAACAAAAACTGAGGTAGAAAATCTGAACAGACCTATAACAGCAGAAATTAAAGAGGTCATAAAAGAAAAAAACTCCCAACAAAAAAAAAGCCATGACCCAGATGGATTCACCAGGAATTCTATGAAACATTTAGAGAAGAGTCAACACCAACTCTACTCAAACTGTTTCAAGAACATAGAAAAGGGAGGAATACTGCTCAATTCATTCTGTGAAGCCAGCATGATCCTGATACAAAAGCCAGGCAAAGACAACACTAAAAAAGAAAACGTAGACCAGTATCCCTCATGAATATAGGTGCAAAAATTCTCAACAAAATTCTAGCCAATTGAATTAAAAAGTGTATCAAAAAATAATACCTCATGATCAAGTGGGATTCATACCAGGGATACAAGGATGTTTCAACATTAGAAAATCAATCAGCCTAATTCACCACATAAATAAAACAAAGGAAAAGAATCACACGATCATCTCAATTGATGCAGAAAAGGCATTTGATAAAATCCAACACCCTTTCCTGATAAAAACTCTCAGCAAAATAGGAATGAAAGGGAAATTCTTCAACATAATTAAGGGCATATATACAAAACCAATAGCCAACATCATTCTCAACAGAGAGAGACTGAAAACATTCCTCTTGAGAACAGGAACCAGACATGGATGCCCTATATCACCACTCTTATTCAATATTGCACTGGAAGTCCTAGCTAGAGCAATAAAGCAAGAAATGGAAATAAAAGGCATCCAAATTGATAAGAAAGAAGTACAGCTATCCCAATTTGCAAATGACATGATCCCATGTGTAGAAAATCCCAGAGACTCCACAAGTTACTGGAACTAATAGAAGGGTTCAGCAAAGTGGTAGGGCACAAAATCAACATACAAAAATTACTTGGATTCCTCTACACTACCAAAGAGAACTCTGAAAAGAAAATCAGGAAAACAATACCATTTACAGTAGCCCTCAAAAGGATAAAATACTTAGGAACAAATATAACTAGGGACATAAAAGACTTATACAAAGAAAACTACAAAGCTCTATTTCAAGAAACCAAGAGACCTACATAAATGGAAACATGTACAAGGCTCATGAATAGGAAGACTTAACACTGTGAAAATGTCAGTATTACCTAAAGCAATCTATAGATACAATGCAATTCCAATCCAAATTCTTTATCAAAATGGAAAAACTAATCTCCAACTTCATGTGGAAAGGAAAGAGACCTCGGATATCTAAAGCATTATTGAAGAAGAACAAAGTAGGAGGCCTCACACTTTCCAACCTCAGACCCTACTATACATCCACAGTAGTCAAAACAGGCTGGTACTTGTACAATGACAGACACATGGACCAATGGAACAGTATTGAGAACCCAGAAGTAAATCCATTTACCTGGACAGTTGATCTTTGACAAAAGGTCAAAGTTCATTAAATGAGGAAAAGATAATCTCTTTAACAAACGGTGCTGGCAAAACTAGATATTCATTTGCAGAAAAATGAAACAGGATCCATACCTCACACCATACACAAAAACTAACTCAAAATGGATCAAAGGCCTAAATGTTAAACCTAAAACTATAAAGTTTATGAAATAAAACATAGGGACAAAGGTAGAGGCCCTAATTTATGGCACACATAGACTATCAAGCATAACTAAAAATGCACAAACAGTAGAAGATAAACTAGATAACTGGGATCTCTGAAAAAATAAATATGTATGCTTATCAAAAGACTTCACCAAAAGAGTAAAAAGAGAAATTACAGATTAGGAAAAAACTTTTGGCAACGACGTATCTGACAAGAGTCCAATCTCCGAAACTTATAAAAAACTTCAACACCTCAACAACAAAAAGACAAACAATCCAATTAAAAAATGGGCAAAGGACATGAACAGACACTTCACCAAAGAAGATATTCAGGCCACTAATGAACACATAAAGAGATGCTTACAACCATTAGCCATTAGAGAGATGCAAATCAAAACTACAATGAGATACCATCTCACTCTGTCAATAATGGCACTGATCAAAAAAAAAAAAAAAAAAAAGAAAAGAAAACAGAAAACAAATGCTGGCAAGGCTGTGGGGAGATTGGAACTCTTATTCACTGCTGGTGGGATTGTAAAATGGTACAGCCGCCATGGCATTTTCTTAAAAAGCTAGAAATAGAAATACCATATGACCCAGCAATCCCACACCTAGGTTATATTCTCTAGGATATACCTAGAGAAATAAGAGCTGTGACACAAATAGACATATGCATACCCATGTTCATTGCAGCATTATTCAAAATAGCAAAAAGATGGAAACAACCTAAATGTCCATCAACAAAAAAATGGGTAAACAAACTGTGGTACATACATACAATGGAATACTATGCAACGATCAAGAATAATGATGAATCTGCGAAACATCTCACAACATGCATGAATCTGGAGGACACTATGCTGAGTTAAATAAGCCGATAACAAAAGGATAAATGCTGTATGAGACCACTATTATAAAAAGTCAAGAATAGATTTACACACAGAAAGAAACATTCTTTGATGGTTACCAGGGAGGGGAGAGGGAGGGAGGGAGAATTAGTAACTAGATAGTAGATAAGTGTTAATTCTGATGAAGGGAGGGGCAATATACAACATGGGGGAAGTCAGCCCAATGTGACCAAGGCAAAGGAAGACACTGAGAGGTACGCAAGAGTAAAGGACAACTATGGTAAATACTATAACATATACAATCCTGAATCAACAGTAATAACAAACAGTAATTTGTGCATGGACACATAGGTAGATATGTATGCTAAATAGGTGTGGGAGGTCCTATGGGAGTACACCCAAGTATGTGTGTGTGTGTATATATATATATATATATATAATTATTTATATATATATATATATAAACCATTGCCATCAAGTTGATTCTGACTCATAGCGACCCTATAGGACAGAGTAAAACTGCCCCACGGGGTTTCCAAGGAGCGGCTGGTGGATTCAAACTGCTGACGTTTTGGTTAGCAGCTGGGTTCTTAACCACTGTGCCACCAGGGCTCCAAGTGTATATATAGGTATTAAAAAAAAATAAAAAAACCTGTTGCTTTCAAGTTGATTCCAACTCATAGCAACCCTATAGGACAGAGTAGAACTGCTCCATAGGGTTTCTAGGGAGCAGCTGGTGGATTTGAACTGCCAGCCTTTTGGTTAGCAGCCAAGCTCTTAACCACTATACCACCAGGGCTCCATATATAGGTATAGTTATGGATATTTCTACATACATATTTGTATGTTGTTGTTGTTGTTAGGTGCCATTGAGTCAGTTCCAACTCATAGCGACCCTATGCACAACAGAACAAAACACTGCTCCATCCTGTGCCATCCTCACAATTGTTGCTATACTTGAGCCCATTTTGCAGTCACTGTGTCAATCCATCTCAATGAGGTTCTTCTTCTTTTGCACTGATCCTCTACTTTACCAAGCATGATGTCCTTCTCCAGGGACTGGTCCCTTCTGATAACATGTCCACAGTATGTGCTACATGTATATTAACATACATAATAGAGCACATAGGGGCATAGTTATGGAAACTTCTTAGACATAAGCAAACTCCTCATGGGGCTGAGTTACTGGGCTTGAGGGCTTAGGACCACAGTCTCGGGGGACATCTAGGTCAATTGGCATAACATAGTTCGTAAAGACAATGTTTTACATTCTACTTTGGTGAGTAGCATCTGGGGTCTTAAAAACTTGCGAGCAGCCATCTAAGATACAACCATTGGTCTCTTCCCATCTGGAGCAAAGGAAATCGAAGAAAACCTAAGACTCAAGGAAGCACTTAGTCCAGAGGACTAATTACCCACATGAACCACAGCCTTCTCTAACCTGAGATCAGAACTGTGGTGCGCAGCTACCACTACCGATAGCTCTAACCAGGATCACAATAGAAGGTCCCGGTTAGAATGGGAGAAAAATGTAGAAGAAAAATGAAATTCATAAAAAGACCAGGCATACTAGTCTGATAGAGACTGGAGGAACCCCCAAGACTATTGCCCTAAGACACTCTTCTAACTTGGAACTGAAGCCACTCCCTTTCAGTCAAATAATATACTGGCTTATAAAGCAATAGCACACATAAGGAATGTGCTCCTTAGAACAATCAACCGTACAAGTCCAAAAGGACAACAATTGCTCAAAAGCAAAGATGAGAAGGCAGGAAGGGGCAGGAAAACCAGATGAATGGAAAAGGGGAGCCCAGTGTGGAAATGGGGAGAGTGCTGACACATTGCAGGAATTGCAACCAATGTTACAGAACAATTTGTGTATGAATTATTGAATGGGAAACTAATTCATTGTGTAAGTGTTCATCTAAAGAACAACAAAATGTTAAAATAAATAAATAAATAAAATATACTGTGCATTACATACAAAAACAAAAGGTTTGTGGTTCAACTCCACCCAGAGCTGCCTTGGAAGAAAGGCCTGTCAATCTACTTCTGAAAAATCAACCATTAAGAACCTTATGGAGCACAGTTTTACTCTGACACACATGGGGTCACCAAGAGTCAGAGTCAACTCAACAACAACTGGAAAATCATAATGTCCAGAATATTATAAGTTTTCAGTAAATATTAACTACAATATGTATTACTTTTATATCAGGCTGCTTGTGAAGCTATGAACAAAGAATGGTTCTTTTTATCTCCATGCATTTCTGATTCTTGCCCTCACCTACACTTTTGCTCTGCATTATTTGCCCCTTTATGTCTCATGCACCTCTCCCCCTATTCTCCTAAATTCTCCTTCATTTATCTCTTATTCATTCTCTCTTAGCTTCTGTCTAAATGTCTACCGATTGAGTTTCTGTACTCATATTTCCAGTGGACCATGAATTGGGATCTAGTTGTGAAGACAGAAGCAAATAGAATAGTTGAACAGTTGTGGAAAGAAGGTCAATATGGGCAAAACTGCCTCAAAGAAAAAACTAGGAGTGGGGTGTAGTGCTGGAGACAGCAGACTCTATACTGATGCCTTGTGGCACTGAATAGGAGAGGACCATGGGCTGAGTGGGAGACTAAGGTGGGCATCAGGGGCAGGGTCTATGTTTCTGTTTAACCTCCAAATAATTGGAATAGCCAGCCCATCGGGCATTTTAACCAGAGCCTAGTAAGTGGATCAAAATCTGCTCAGTAGAATCCCATTTGTTTAACTGGTGGATAGGGAAAAACTATTTACTTCCATGAGCATGACTGTATGAGAGTGCCCATTTATCCATTTAGTCAACAAATATTTATTCATCACCTACTATGTGCCTGTCACTGTCCTGGCACTGAGGCTACCACAGTGAATAGGACAGACAAGAGCCCCTCTCTCATGGAGTTTACACTGTATTGTAGAAAGTCATAAAATAAACGGGCAAATAAATGAGAAAATATTGGATAATGTTATAAAGGAAATAAACAGAAGGATGGGACAGTTTCTTTAAGGAGATCATGGAAGGCATGCCTAAGGATGAGAATTTGATTTATGACTAATAATGAGTAGAAGTGGTCATGAGTTTTTCAGGCAAAGGGGTCATGGTGATCCAAAGCCCTGAATAGGAATAATAATAATAGCCAACATTTATATGGTGCTAACAGGTGCCAGGTGCTGTTGAAAAAGCTTTAAAAAATAAACTCATCTAGTTTTTTAACACCTCTGCATGAAATACTCTCATTATTCCATTTTACAAATGAATAAATGGATGTTCTTGGACCTGCCCGAGGTGTTTGTTGTTGTTAGGAGCCATCTAGTCAATTCCAACTCATGGAAACCCCATGTGTGCAGAGTAGAACTGCTCATAAGGTTTTCAAGGCTATGACCTTTTAGAAACAGATCACCAGGCCTATCTTCCAACCTTTCGGCAAGTAGTTGAGCACTTAATTGTTTGTACCACCAAAGGACTCCTGCCCAAGAGGAAACAGCTAATAAATAGTAGAACCAGGTTCTAACCTAAGTGGGCTGACTCCACTATCCATACCTTTTTATCACTGATATTCTCAAAGTCATTGCCAATGAGAAATAAGGCTAATGTCGCTGGCTTACTGTAAGGAGGGGAGAGTAATTTTAGGAAATGACATAGGAGAGGCAGGCATGACTAGGTCATGTAGAATCCTATGGACCATAGTAAGGAGTTTGCAAATTTTTCCAAATGTTATCAGGACCATTAGCAGGCTTTAAGCAGGCAGTGACTTGTTTCTGTTGCCTTGCAGAATGCTTGAGTCCTTAATATGCAATGAGAGCAGAATTCGGAGCCTGGGTCAAAGGAAATCTGTGAATGATTTGAATGGCCCGCTTTACCAGGAATATGAGGAGGATCCAGGTGACAGTAGTGCTGGGTACAAGGAAAACCCCAAGTTCCAGGATACCCCCAGCAACTCTCATTATTATGTATTCTTTGAAGAACAAGAAGATGAGATCATTGGTTTCGGGCAGGAGCTCAAAAACCCCCAGGAAGAGACCCTACTGGCCTTTGACAGCCATTACGACTACACCGTGTGTGGGGACAATGAAGACATAATGTGCACCCCCAAGTCAGATGAGTTCAACCCCTGCGAGGACATAATGGGCTACAAGTTCCTGAGAATCATGGTGTGGTTTGTGAGTCTGCTGGCTCTTCTGGGCAATGTCTTTGTCCTGCTTATCCTCCTCACCAGCCACTACAAACTGACTGTCCCGCGCTTTCTGATGTGCAACTTGGCCTTTGCGGACTTCTGCATGGGGATGTACCTGCTCCTTATTGCCTCTGTAGACCTCTACACTCAGTCTGAGTACTACAACCATGCCATCGACTGGCAGACAGGCCCTGGGTGCAACACGGCTGGTTTTTTTACTGTCTTTGCCAGTGAGTTGTCAGTGTACACGCTGACAGTCATCACCCTGGAGCGCTGGTATGCTATCACTTTCGCCATGCGCCTGGACCGGAAGATTCGCCTCAAGCACGCATATGCCATCATGGTTGGGGGCTGGGTTTGCTGCTTCCTGCTTGCCCTGCTCCCTTTGATGGGAGTAAGTAGTTATGCCAAGGTCAGCATCTGCCTGCCCATGGACACCGAGACTCCTCTCGCTCTGGCTTATATTGTCCTTGTTCTGTTGCTCAACATAGTTGCTTTCATCATCGTATGCTTCTGTTACGTGAAGATCTACATGACAGTCCGAAATCCCCAGTATAACCCAGGGGACAAAGACACCAAGATTGCCAAGAGGATGGCTGTGTTGATCTTCACTGACTTCATGTGCATGGCCCCAATCTCATTCTATGCTTTGTCAGCACTTATGAACAAGCCTCTCATCACTGTTACCAACTCCAAAATCTTGCTGGTTCTCTTCTATCCACTTAACTCCTGTGCCAATCCATTCCTTTATGCCATCTTCACTAAGGCCTTCCAGAGGGATGTTTTCATACTGCTCAGCAAGTTTGGTGTCTGTAAACGCCAGGCCCAAGCATATAGGGGCCAAAGAGTTTCTCCAAAGAACAGCATTGGTATTCAGGTCCAAAGGGCTACCCGGGACATGAGACAAAGTCTTCCCAACATGCATGATGACTATGAACTGATTGAAAATGCCAATCTAACTCCAAATAAGCAGGACCAAATCTCAGAAGAGTATCAGCAAACAGCTTTGTAGGCTGGCCCTACACTACTTGCAATGGTAGGGGGACTTAACAAAAGGCTGGTTTCCTGAACATACATTCCAACCCCATAACACCCATAATGCACAACTGAACTAACCTAACCCTGTGCGGGTGATATTTCATGGGACAAGGGTTCATCTCCAGAGAGTGACTTGAGTTAAACTAATTATCACCTTGGAGAAGGAAGAGATGCCACCAACATGTCTGAAGACCAGGTGATATCAAAATAATTGATGCTTTGGAATCAGGGCTTTGAACTGGTTCATTTTTGTTTGAACCCCTGCTGAGAATTTGCATTTCTAACAAGTTCCCAAGCGATGCTAATGCTGCTGGCTAGGGACCAATTCTGAGAACCGCTAGTAGAGCAGTAGTTCTCAAATTTTACTATACATAAGAATCACCTGGGGATCTTATTAAAATGTAGATTCTGATTCAGTATATCTGGGGTAGAAATGAAAATTCCCAGCAGGAGTTCAAACGAAAATGAACTGGTTCGAAGCCCTGTCTGGAAGGCTTGCTTGATGACTAAGTCCAGAGATGGCATTGTATAAGATGCTCAATAAATATCAGCTGAGCCATATCAACAACAAACTGCTCAGTTTTATATAGCATTATATACTAAAGACTCAGCCAGTGATAAATGCTGTTAATTTGGTTGGTGACAAGATAAAATAGACCCCATATTGGCTCAGTTCAACTTTATGATTCCCAGTACAACCGAAGAGAGTTTGAATTGGCTTGAAACTGAAAAGCCAAATAATACAACTAGATGCTGTACAAGGATTAGCTATTATGAGACATGAAGGAGGGGAAAGCCTTAGTTTTGAGGTTGTTTTTTTTTTTTTTTCTCCTAAGTCTGTGAAACTTGTAATCATCCCCTCACAAGGATCTACCTGATGTAGCCCAGCTGTTATGTGTTGCCTGGAAAACGGGTAGAATTTCAGCTTATGTGGCGTAGCAAACAAAGTATTGCCCTTCTTTGCTAGACTCATAGCATAAAGGACCGGAACTCTAGAAACTATTTCTAAGTAGCAGCAAGTGTGAGTTATGGGCAGAGCACACTAAATCATCGATTGATTAGTAAAGCAGGCTGGACACCAGTTAACTGTGGGACTGTGGGAACTAGGGCAAATCAATCTATCTATGGACTCCAGAATTCCATAGAAGTAAAGGGGTTCAATGGCTTCTTCTAGTTTTAATACTTTATGTCTGTTCCTTTCCCTCAAATTATACTTTCCATAACAATGAGAAAAAAAAGCACTAAGGAAGCAGAATGTGTTTTCCATCTTGTAGGGCTGCTGTCTTCTTCTCTTTGGAATCTAGACATATGACCCAGGAAATTTTCTCTTTGTTTCATTTTAGCTTATAATGTCTGAGCCAAAAATTCTATGGGGCGACCACGTTGGGCTTGATCTGAATCACTCATCCAATACTCAATCTACACAGCTATAATTATCAGGCCAAAAACAGAAATAAAAATTGGTTGTTAGTCATATAATAGAATAAAAGTTAGTTTTAAAAATTTTTGATTATTTAGAGTTATTACCCCACTGTCCAGAGTCACTTCAAAACATTTAATTTGTCTTCAAGGATTGGTTTCTTTGCTTGGCCAATTCCAGTCCATAATACTATACTAAAGCAGTCCAGAGTAGTTTCTTCTCTGCTGCAGCTTCCAGCCTTTTCAAGCCCTGCTGATCACTGGACGTAGAGCCTCTATTCCCCAAAACTTGTCCTTTACGTAAAACAGTCAGGATCTGTATCTATAGATGTGCTCTCTGGGTTATCTATAAAGACAGCCCCTTAATTTCCTGCTAGAAAAGAGTTCCCATGCACTGCTTCTCAGTGAACTACACCATGAAATAAGAGCCCTTTGCTGTTGTTCAAGTTGTGGAGTAAGGTTAGTGGGCCAAATGGGCCCCCAGAGATGGTCCTCATGACTCCCCTGGAATCTCTCCATAGCTGTACCCATTCCCAGTTATCACCAAGACTTGCATATGTTAACAGAAAATTTATAAATGCCTAAAATCATGACTTACCCATCAGTTTACTTGTACCTAATGAATTTAAACAAACGTGTTACCTTGTGGCATGTGTTTCTCACCTGTGACATTTTCAAATGTCTCATCTTGATAAATAATGTGATTTTATCTTGAGTAGCTGAACTAATATTTTGAAAAACAGTCCTAGAAACGTGACTTCAACAGAATTGCTATTAAAATTGAACATACTGAATTTGCAGCATGAAATACATTTTTCTTCCTATGAAATGATTGTGCTGACTCTCAGAGTCTTGTGTTTTGTAATCTGTGAATTTCTTTTGGGGTTACCATTGTATGTGTGAAAACTAAAGACAGGAAAAGTAATTAGCACATTTGCGAATAAATCCATATTAATAAATAAACTGTAGACAATTAGTAACTTATAAGCATAACACTGTATCTTGATTATAAATGATCTTTATGTGAAAAAAACTTACTAAAGGTGAATCGAATTATGATTCCTTGACAGGCAGTGATGGACGAGAGAAAGAAATAGTAAAAGAGACTATGTCAAATAAATGATTAGTATTGACAATAGGAGTTTAAACAGTGCTCTAATGAAGATGATAAATCTATAAGGCCTTCCCAGAGTCATTGTATCTGGCAGCTTTCAACTCTCTGAAGAGAGACCCAAATTAGAGAGGATTAAAAGCCTCAGGCTAGTCACAATATATGTCACAAAATTCATAACCTAAGGCTTATACATGTTGCTCAACTCTCAAAATACCATCAAAGTTTATTGACTCTTGGTTTATGGATAATCCATTACATATCAGAAGCAGCCAATTCAAAGAAGAGTGTCTACTATGGGGCATCACAATGACAGCATCAATAAAGTGAGGGCAAAAAGAAGAAAAGTATAATCAAAAGAGTTAAAAATAATAAAATTAGTGAACAAATAGTCCTAACTGCTTGAAGTCTTTGGCAAAAGATGCATTATAACACAGTAGAGTGATTCTCATTCATTCTGAATACTTAAAAGGACAAGATAAATTTGTTGGCAGCAATCCACTCTGTTTTAAAAGATATAAAAGTTTCAGCTCAATGTGATGGACTGAAAACCAGTATTTACCACCATCCTATTTCGAATTCCACTGAGATGACAGTGAAGAAGTATAAAGTGAGATAAAGTCAAAACTGCACTGCAAACAAGAAGAATGGCACCACCAGTAGATCAAAGACTTTGATGGCTTTCTGAAATATGGAAAGTATGTGCTTTGAGAGCCCTGGTAGCATAGTGGTTAAGAGCTCGGCTGCTAACCAAAAGGTTCACAGTTCAAATCCAGCAGCCACTCCTTGGAAACCTTATTGGGCAGTTCTACTCTGACCTATTGGGTTGCTATGTGTAGGAACCAATAGCACCTAATAACAAAAAAAAGTGTGCCTTGAGTTGATCAATAACTCAAGAGTTGAGAAGGGTAGCCAAGAACGTGCTTAGTAGCTTGGAAACCATGTAATGATGTATTAATAATTCACCATAATGGAGTTCTAGTCATTAAGAAATTTACCATCAAAGGCAACACTTCATATCTGCCCATTAGACAGAAAATATTTTGTCAAAAACTTACTCATAACTTATCCCTGTGACTCAATTTTCTCTTTCAACACAGGCATTGTGATTTAAGGACCAGCCTGATAAGGAGTTGCAAGAAGTCCAAAAGAACTTCAGTTCTCCAGAAAGATTTTCAAGTTTCTCAACAAGGGCCATATTAAAACAATGAGGTAAAAGTTTGAGAAAAACAAGACTAGTGTTATCCCTGTTTCCTTTTAGCAAATCTTAGGTTTAAATTTTATTACATTCTACCTCAGTCTCCCTGACATCAAATAAAACAGGCTTCTGGAATGAGAGTGGACAAATTTAGACACTGCCAAAATTTGTCAGATTATTGATGGGATTCCTAGGACTTATTATTAATGACAAATATAACTATGTCACTTTGTTTGCTCTCAAATATTTCTCTGATTTCTCAAAGTGTTCCTTAAGCACTCTGACAGAAGAGGACCTAGGGGACGCGCTAATAGCTTCAGCAAATGTCGGAGAAATGAGATACCCTGACCAATTGATGTCATGGTCGAGATGAAACAGGAGATGCCTGATATCACACCTGTTTTCACCATCTGTAAACTAACTCTGGCAAGAGGGAAAAAATGAGCACATACCATTGGCACCCAAGCTACTGCTTGATTTCATTTTAATTGGTGCAGTTGAACTACCAATTGGAGCAATACTTGAAGGAAGTTAAAGTATTTTCTTCTAAATCTTTAACTGTTTGCGCATCCAGCCCAAATGGTACCCATGAGTTCTCTCCAAACCCACTCACCCTGCAGCCATACACTGTCTTCCAGCTAGAAGACCCTCACCCTACACCAAACCCTCCATGCTACCCTAGTTCCACACACCTCCTCCAACCTATTCCATTATCCTTGTTCAAGCCCTAGAAAGTGGACTTCTAGGTCCCTCATGCCACACTCAGAGAAATTGAAGACAAATACTTGGATACCACTTTGGTGAAGAAAAATAAGAAAAAAGAATGAAGAAAAATGAAAAAAAACTGAGACTGATGTGGAATACAATCAAAAGCAAAAATCTGCAAGTGATCGGAGTTCCAGAACAGGGGGAGAAAACAGAAAACACAGAGGATCATTCAAGAATTGCTGACAGAAAACTTCCCTAATATTATGAAAGATGAAAAGCTGACCATCCAAGAAGCTCAATGAACCCATATAGGATAGACCCCAAAAGAAAATCACCAAGGCTGATGAAACCAAATACAAAGAAAGAATCCTGAAAGTAGCTCAAGAAAAGCGAAAAGTCACATACAGAGGGGAAACAATAAGACTAAGCTCTGATTACTCAGAAAAAACCATGCAGGCAAGAAGGCAATGGGATGACATATATAAAAACTTGAAAGAAAAAAAATTGCTAACAAATAATAATATATCCTGCAAAACTCTTGTTCAAATATGATGGTGAAATTAGGACATTTCCAAATAAACGGAAATTAAGGGAATATGTAAGAACCAAACCAAACTTACAAGAATTATTAAAGAAAATCCTTCAATTTAAGAACAAACAACATCAGATGACAGCCTGAATCCAGGATGCAAGACTGCACCAGCCAGATACCAACCTAGGAAATAAACTCTCAAGGATGAATCAAAACTAAAAGATTTACAACAGGGAATCACTTAATCTGTAAA